GCCCTATTTTAGGCAGCTCTAAACGCCGCCGGGCGTAATAGTATGCCCTCCGGTCTTTCCTTACTTACCTGGTCGCCGGCTGTCCCACGCCGGCGATCGCGGTTGGGGGGACTCCCAGGGAGCCCCCCCTGCGGCAGATCTTCCACCTCCGGTCCCCCCCGGCCATGTGAGAGTGAGGTCCTTGCGAGGAACTCACAATCACATGGCCGGGATAGCTGGCTGCTGTATTGCCAGCAGGGGGACTGCCTGTAATGACAGGTAGTCCCCCTGCTGGCTGAAAATAAAATAAATAAAAGTTAATAAAGTGTAAAAAAATTAAATAATATACTTAGATCATATATGTATTATATATATATGATCTAAGTATATATATACACATATACATACACACACATACACTGTCTAGGTGTATTTTACTATTAATATATATATAATTATATATATATATATTAATATCAAATTACACGTAGACTGATACTGATTAAATATATATATATATAATTATTGTTATATATTTATATAATATAAAAAAATTAAATATGTAAATACGTTAAAAATAAAAATAAAAAAATAATAAAAAAAATAAAAAAATATATAGATGTGTGTTATTTCGTTCTAACTGTATTGTGATATTAATATGTATATTTAAATCAAAATACACGTAGAATGAAATAATATATAAATAGCTATATACATAAATATATACGTATATATTACTATATATATACCTATATATAAATAAAAATATTTTTAAAAAATTATATATATCTATATACATATATATTCACATACGTTTATATATATATATATATATACATATATTAATTCTACATATATATTTATGTAATATTTTTACATAATTGGGTATCTTAATTAATTACAATTAGCGGGATCTGCCTGACAACCCATGCCGAAAGTAAAGGGAATTTAATTTGCTAGCACTATATTTAACCCTATAACTTTCCAAGACACCATAAAACCTGTACATGGGGGGTACTGTTCTACTCGGAGGACTTCGCTGAACACAAATATTAGAGTTTCAAAACAGTAAAATGTATTACAAGATGATATCGCCAGTAAAAGTGACGGTTTTTGCATTTTTCACGCACAAACAGCACTTACACGGACGATATTATTGCTGCGATACTTTTTACTGCTTTGAAACACAAATATTTGTGTTCAACGAAGTCTCCCAAGTACAACAGTACCCCTCATGTACAGGTTTTATGGTGTTTTCAAAAGTTACAGCATCAAATATAAGGCTTGTGTTTCATTTTTTCACATTAAAATTTGCCTTTGAGACCCTATGGTAGCCCAAGGATGAAAATTACCCCCATGATGGCATACCATTTGCAATAGTAGACAATCCAAGGTATTGCAAACAGGGTATGTCCAATCTTTTTTAGTAGCCACTTAGTCACAAACAGTGGCGAAAATTGGCGTTTTTTGCATTTTTCACACACAAACAAATACTAACGCTAACTTTGGCCAGTGTTTGTGACCAAATGGCTACTAAAAAAGACTGGACATACCCCATTTGCAATACCTTGGGTTGTCTACTATTGCAAATGGTATGCCATTATGGGTGTAAATGTCATTCCTGGACTACTATACAGTCTCAAAGGCAACGTAACCAATCTGCGAATTTCAATTTCAAATGTAACGTGCTATATTTGACCCTGTAACTTCCAAAAACGCCATAAAACCTGTACATAGGGGGTACTGTTTTACACGTGTGACTTTGCTGAATATAAATATGTGTATTTTATTGCAGTAAAAGCAAACAGTATTATGACATTGACAGTTAAAATGTCATGTAGAACTAAAAAAATAAAAAAAATATCTTATTTTCTCCCATTTTTTTCATATTAAATTATGTTTCATAGCTAAATATTTGATATTAAATGAAAGCCCTGTTTTTCCTGAATAAAATTATATATAATAAGGGTGGATGCATTTAATATGAAAGAGGTGAATTACCGTTGGACAGACATGTAGCGCAAATTCCAGGTTTTGTTTACATTTTGTTTCGTTCACAACGTGTACATTTGGCTCCGTCCTTAAGGGGTTAAATATTCATATGCATTTGGGATAGTGTTCAGGTAACTTTATTGTTTGCTTTTGTTCTATGTAAGTGGGCGAATGTATAATGTAGCTGTCTCCCAAGATCAGTGTGATTTTGAACACAGGGCTTAATTCTGTGTGTTTGTAACAGAAAAACTTTGTTGATAAATTCCTTTTGACTATTTGCCTGCTGGCATAACTAGTAACCAAATAGTTAAAATAAAACCCTGTGGGGTTATTTTGGCATCATGTTTTTTTTATTTTTGTTGTTGGTGTAGCCCGTGAAGTTACACAGGCTGCATTATCTGAAATGCCCAGTAGATGGCACATGGACTCAGTATGCTGTTAATAAAACATTGAGCTTTGATCACATGACTTGCTGAAATCAAGAGAGGAGTGTGGCATCATCGCAGGGCCTGTCAGGACTTCCTGCACAGCTCTGAGGGAGGAGGATTCTAAGAGTGACCACATGCTGAGCCAGAGGGAGGACATGTGAGAGACTGTAGCACAGAGATAGGACCTGGCTGAGAGAACTTGTTTCACCCAAGATCACACCAGCTGAGAGAGGGACCTGCAGGAAAGGAAAGAAGACAAGCACTGAGTCCAGACGTCTGGCGAATCCAGTGAGAGGAGACTGCTGCTGACTGACTGGTTAATCGTGTTGTGAGGGTAAGCCAAGCCTCTCCCTGTATCGCCACAGGGCACCTGTCTTCTCACTCACAGTAAAGACTCTGAGGTCCCATGACGGACATTACATATCTGAGGCTGCTTCAGTGACCCTGTGAAGCAGGACTTATAAGGGCCCCAACTCTCCTATGTGCACCAACGGCCGCTAGGGCGAAGATAAGGGGGTGGGGCGCAGGTGTGCTGGTGGGTGAGTGAGGAAAATCCCCATTTGCATTGTTATCTGTGTTACTCTATTGTATTTTCCTATGTATGTTGGTTCAATTGCTACTTACCATATAAAGTTAGTCCCAGTTAGACTGTGTCAGTCTCATTGCACCAAGTATGTTCCCAGTGGGACCCCACATCCCTACCCCGGATGCTCCACTGGGTGGAGGCACTGCCGCAGACATGTACCCCAGCTCCCAAATAGCGGAGGCTCAGGATCCGCCTGTCGGGCATAGTGAGTTAACTAGGTTTGGGGACCCCAAAGACACTAGGGGGCACCCCAAAACCCCGTTACAGATGGAGGCACTGCTGAGATGTATTGGGGTACAACCAGTGAGAATAGGTTAAGTCCTCAGGCCACTCCCTCCTTTGTGAAACAGTGGGCCCAGCAAAGAAATGTACCATTACAGCAAGCTGTGATGTTATGCAAAGTCCCATCCTGCTGTGAGATGAATCACGTCATCTTGTGTATAGAAATTCGACTGGGAATAGAAATGGCGACCATCAGAGATATCCTGCAGGATTCTGAAGGCCAAACTTACATGTTAATATATTGTCATACGGGCTTGGGAGACCATGAGATGCCTACCAACATTCATTTACATGGAGCCCCGGATGGAGGATGCTCCTTAGTGTACGCTCTCCTTGATAAGAAAGAAAGGGTCTCACTGCAACAACCCTTTAAATTAGAACGGAAAGATTATGTCACAGAAAATTATTCTAAGCTCCTGACCCCCATCTCCGGAAAGGCCGGAGCCATTCCTAAACAAGCTGCCCATCCTCCTAGAGGACAGGGGATGATTACTCCTAAAGCAGAATCTCATCCATCTACAGCATTACTGAAACCAGACAACCCTGAAGTACACACCCTGCCTACAGGAGGTAGTGATGTATCGGACATACTACAGAAACTCTCAGAAGCCATAGTGACGGCAAACCACACCCATAGTTACCGCAAACTAAAGGTGTTTTCTGGGAATCAGCCTGTTCCTGCAGGAGAAGAGCCTTTTGAGGTCTGGAAGGATAATGCTATGCAGTTGTTGGAGGAATGGTCTTGTACGGATACCATAAAGAAACAGCGGTTGGTGGAGAGTCTTCGTTTTCCCGCTACAGACATGATAAGACTGTACAAGGGAGTAAATGGGCAAGCTACTGCACACGACTATCTACAAGTTTTACAGGATGCTTATGGGAAATCAGAAGATTTGGATGATCTGTTGGTTAAGTTCCTAGCCACTAAGCAGAAGGAGCACGAAAAAGCCACTGACTATATCAACCGGTTACAGCTATCGCTTGGAAAGTTATTCCATAAAGGAGCAGTCACTGCCTCTGAGTTGGATGCTCGGCTATCTAAGCAAATTCAGAGAGGTGGTTTGACCAGTAATCCAGTTATGATTCTGCTGAGAGCCAAGTTGGATGATAAAGTTCTGCCTTATTCCACATTAATAAATACAGCCAGGAGATTGGAAGACCAGATGTGTCCACCCCTACAGAAGGAGAAAGAGAATACAGAACTGTCAGCTCTTAGGAAGAAGGTGGCTGAATTGGAGCTTTTATGCAAATCACCACCAGAGAGAGCAGATCTTCCCCCTGGAAGTGGGGGGCAACACAGGAAGACTCAGAAAAAGCTGTTTCCTGAGGATTCACCCCGCCGAGGGGACTGCTTTAAATGTGGAAAGTCAGGGCATTTTCAGCGGGAGTGCCTTGCGGATTCCATGGAGGTGGATGTGGGGGTGCTGGCAACCAAGCTCGGGGAGACTCAAATGACCAGGTCTTACAAGCGAAGGAAGACCCGGCCTACATATAGTCTATCTGTAGGGGCCAAGATTGGGCCTAAATCTTTGATACACGTGCAAGTGGAAGGAATTCATGCTTCAGCATTGCTAGATACAGGTTCTCAAGTCACCATTATCTACAGAGACTTCTATGAACGTCATTTGAAACACATTCCTATGGAACCTGCAGGAGAGTTTCAGCTATGGGGCGTTGGGTCTCAAGCTCAACCTGTGGAGGGATGCATAAAAGTGACCATAACTATTCCCCAGTTAAATACCGGGATGATATGTCCTATGGAGCTGGAAGCTTTGATATGCCCTGCAGCCAAGAAAGTGTGTGCCCCAATAATATTGGGTACTAATGCAAAGATGGTACAGGATGTATTCAGGGCCTATCTGACAGAAGTGGGAGATGTCTCCTTAGACCGACTGATGGAGGTCAGCCCTGTCCTAGGAAAAGAGTGTCGACGACTAGCCCTTGCAACAAAACCAGGGTTGTGCCACTATTCAGGAACAGAACCTGCATTTGTGAAGCCTGGTGAGACCAAAACCTTACGAGCCATAGCCTCAATGCACCATGAAATGTTGGGGGGAACTGGACAATACCTTATTGAGTCTCTGCCTGAAGAGGATCAGAAGAAGGGGTGGACTCTCATACCTGAGATAAAAGATTGGCGAAAAAGGTGGTGTCGGAGTTTTCCTGTGATGGTACAGAATTTAACCCCCACGGAAATCCGGATTGATCGTCATCAGAAGATTGGTGTAATACACCTTTTAGATCAAGTTTCGTCCATCATGTCTGTGAGTGCAGAACAGACGGATCATGTGAAAGCACCTTTAGATTTTGATCTAGAAGATTCTCCCCTACCACAGCAGTGGAAAGACAGCCTTCGTTCAAAACTGGCCATCCGAGAGGGAGTGTTCTCCAGAGCAGAGATGGACGTGGGGTGTTCTAAGAGTGCCACCCATGCTATAAGACTTGCTGATCCTACTCCTTTCAGAGAAAGGTCAAGAAGAATACCCCCTCGAGATGTGGAAGATGTCCGGGACATACTCCAGCAGATGGAAGGAGCAGGCATCATCACAGAGTCCCGGAGCCCCTATGCCTCACCTATTGTGGTAGTGAGGAAAAAGAATGGTTCAGTTCGGCTATGTGTGGACTACCGTACTCTGAACAAGAGGACTGTGCCAGACCAGTACACCTTGCCCCGGATAGAAGATCTTCTGAACGCCCTATCTGGCAGCCAGTGGTTCAGTGTGCTTGACTTGAGGTCTGGATATTATCAGGTACCCATGAAGAAGGAAGATCAGGAAAAGACAGCTTTCATCTGCCCTTTGGGGTTCTTCCAGTTTACCAGAATGCCACAGGGAGTCACAGGAGCTCCTGCTACTTTTCAGAGGCTGATGGAGAAAACTGTGGGGGATATGAATCCCAAAGAGTGTCTAGTGTATCTAGATGACCTAATTGTTTTCGGGAAGACACCAGAGGAGCATGAACAAAGATTGCTAAAGGTGTTGGATCGACTTCAAGCTGAAGGCCTGAAGCTATCAGTGGACAAATGCCGATTTGCCCAGAACTCTGTCACTTATGTGGGGCACATAGTCTCCGCTGAAGGAGTAGCCACAGATCCTGCTAAAATTGAAGCAGTGCTGAATTGGCCAAGACCAAATAACATCGGTGAGTTGCGGTCCTTTCTCGGATTCTGTGGTTACTACCGAAGGTTCGTGAAAGACTACTCAAAGATTGCTCGAGAGTTACATGACCTGCTGAAGATTATCTCTGACGTAAAGGGTGTTAAGGCACCATATCCTAAAGACCCCTTTGGAGAGAAATGGACTTCAGGATGTGAAGATGCCTTTCTGACGCTGAAGAAGAGACTTACAGAAGCTCCTGTCTTAGCCTATGCAGACCCTGAGAAACCATATATCCTCCATGTGGATGCCAGTATGGAAGGCCTAGGGGGTGTACTGCACCAAAGTTATCCAGCAGGATTGAGGCCGGTGGCTTACATAAGTAGGAGTCTTACAGGTGCAGAGAAGAACTATCCAGTCCATAAATTGGAATTTCTGGCACTCAAGTGGGCCATCGTGGATAAGCTGCATGACTATTTGTATGGGGCAACATTCAAAGTAAGGACTGACAACAATCCACTTACCTACATCCAGACTACAGCTAAGCTGGATGCTACAGGACATAGGTGGTTGGCTGCCTTGTCAAACTACAGTTTCAGCCTGAAGTACAAGCCTGGGCCCAAGAATGTCAGCGCAGATGCCCTGTCCCGCAGACCTAGACTCCCCCCTCACCAAGAAGAAGAGGAGTGGGAAGAGATCCCTGGGCCGGGGGTAGGAGCCTTTTGTCAGATGTATGTGGTGGCCGAGAGTCAAGAAGAATTTGCCGAGCTAAGAGGGATAGACTCCATTAGCCACTCTCCCGAAGCTGTGCCTGAGGTGTTCCATGCTCCAGTCATGCTTCAACAGTGGTCCAGTATAACCACAGAAGACAAGAGGAAGGCTCAAGCGCAGGACTGGTATATTGGGATAGTTATCAGAGCAATAAAGACTAAGAATCCTAAATTGCTGACTTCTCTACCTGTGAATCAAAGAGAATTATACCGAAGAGAATGGAGCCGACTACATCTCTAAGATGGAGTACTCTATAGGGTCGTGAAGTATCATGATCACCCTGACAGAAAACAATTGGTACTACCGCACCGATACCGTGGCATGGTCCTGAGAGCTCTCCATGATCAACATGGGCATCTCGGGGTGGACAAGACCTATGGCCTAGTACAAGATCGGTTCTATTGGCCTCGCATGAGGGAACATGTCGAGCAACATGTAAAGACATGCAGGAGGTGTATCCAGAGGAAGACCCTGCCTGTGAGAGCTGCCCCTATGGGTCATCTGAAAAGTACGGGACCCATGGATCTTGTGTGCATGGACTATCTCTGCATTGAGGACGATACAGCGGGAATTGGAAATGTGCTGGTGGTAACGGACCACTTCACCAGATATGCTCAAGCTTTCCCCACTAAAGACCAAAAGGCTGTGACTGTAGCCAAAGTCCTTTGGCAGAAGTATTTTATTCACTATGGACTACCCAATCGGCTACACTCTGATCAAGGTAGAGACTTTGAGAGTAAGTTGATAAAGGAGCTGTTAGGCATGTTGCAGGTGCAGAAGTCCAGAACCACACCTTATCATCCGGAGGGTGATGCACAGCCAGAACGTTTCAATAGGACCCTCCTAGATATGCTAGGGACTCTCAAGCAAATCGAGAAGCGGTCTTGGAGTAAACATGTGGAAACCATGGTCCACGCATACAACTGTACAAGGCATGAATCTACAGGGTTCTCACCCTATTTCTTAATGTTCGGAAGAGAAGCTCGATTGCCGATAGATGTCCGGTTGGGAGTGTCTCCTGATGGAACAGATTCAACTTCACACTTTCAATATGTGAGGAACCTCAAACAAAACCTTCGTCGGGCCTACGAGTTGGCCACCCAAGCTGCAGCAAAAATGGAAGAACGGAACAAAAGAAGATATGATGCTAAGGTGAGATATCGGGAGATTCAAGCAGGGGATAAAGTTCTTCTCCGGAATCTAGGTGTGCCTGGAAAACACAAACTGGCTGACAGATGGAAAGATACCCTGTTTGAGGTTGTGTCCAAACTGGAAGGACTGCCAGTGTACAACATTCGGGGCCCGGAGGGCCGAATAAAGGCTTGGCATAGAAACCATCTGCTTCCAGTTGTGTATACTGATGAAGAGGAAGAGAGTAGTGAAGAACTGGAGGAAACCCCAGCAGAGAGTCCTGGAAATGGGGCAGAGGAGACCCCGGGAACTCCCAGTGCAGAGGATCAGTGGTGGTCATCACCCGCTGAAGAAACACAACAATTGCCTCCTTTAACTCCTGTGGTTTCACAAAGTCCCGGAACCTCTCCTGGGTCACAAAGTTCTCCAAGGTTGAATCCAGAAAGTCCCTGTTTTGTGCCTGGAACTTCCCTTAAAAACTCTACTTCGAGGGCAGGAGTCGAAGTTCCACAGTTGATGTCCCAAGATCCTCTCCCCCAGCGAGAACTGAGACACAGCACCAGAGTGCGGCAACCCCCTAGGGCCCTAGTTTATGATAATATAGGAGAGCCCAGTTATGCCCCGCTGACACAAGCAACATTTAAAATGGCCACTTTCCTACATGCACTAGCTGAAGTGGTAAATGTTAGTGACTGTTTACCCTAAATAACTAGCTAGCTAGGATGTTACTGTGCGAACTGTACTGTAAGTATGCTAAACCTTTTTCTGTTGAATTTTTGTTAAGCTCCCTGGCTAGGACTTGCCAGTGGAAGGCAAGTATTTTCAAGGGGGAGCATGTAGCCCGTGAAGTTACACAGGCTGCATTATCTGAAATGCCCAGTAGATGGCACATGGACTCAGTATGCTGTTAATAAAACATTGAGCTTTGATCACATGACTTGCTGAAATCAAGAGAGGAGTGTGGCATCATCGCAGGGCCTGTCAGGACTTCCTGTACAGCTCTGAGGGAGGAGGATTCTAAGAGTGACCACATGCTGAGACAGAGGGAGGACATGTGAGAGACTGTAGCACAGAGATAGGACCTGGCTGAGAGAACTTGTTTCACCCAAGATCACACCAGCTGAGAGAGGGACCTGCAGGAAAGGAAAGAAGACAAGCACTGAGTCCAGACGTCTGGCGAATCCAGTGAGAGGAGACTGCTGCTGACTGACTGGTTAATCGTGTTGTGAGGGTAAGCCAAGCCTCTCCCTGTATCGCCACAGGGCACCTGTCTCCTCACTCACAGTAAAGACTCTGAGGTCCCGTGACGGACATTACACATCTGAGGCTGCTTCAGTGACCCTGTGAAGCAGGACTTATAAGGGCCCCAACTCTCCTATGTGCACCAACGGCCGCTAGGGCGAAGATAAGGGGGTGGGGCGCAGGTGTGCTGGTGGGTGAGTGAGGAAAATCCCCATTTGCATTGTTATCTGTGTTACTCTATTGTATTTTCCTATGTATGTTGGTTCAATTGCTACTTACCATATAAAGTTAGTCCCAGTTAGACTGTGTCAGTCTCATTGCACCAAGTATGTTCCCAGTGGGACCCCACATCCCTACCCCGGATGCTCCACTGGGTGGAGGCACTGCCGCAGACATGTACCCCAGCTCCCAAATAGCGGAGGCTCAGGATCCGCCTGTCAGGCATAGTGAGTTAACTAGGTTTGGGGACCCCAAAGACACTAGGGGGCACCCCCAAAACCCCGTTACATTGGTTTTTTTTTTTTTGTGACTTGGCTTTTATTTTTAGAGTTGTGATAGGTTAATAGCTTTCTTATTTGGCCTTTTTGGGGGCTAAAAATACAAGTAGGTGAGGGTTTGGGGAACAATATGTCCCTGGGATTATTTTAAGTATAACTCCCACCCACTGACTACAGGATGTGGAATACTAAATCCCCACCATTTATTTAAAAAAAAAATGTAAACAAAGTGTATGGGATCACTATGACCCCCATATTAATACAATGGAGATTTTAAACTTACCCCCTGTCTTTTATTACACCCACTGGCTGCTTGCTGTTTAGTGGTGGTATGTCTAATAAACAGTGAGCCACTACATGTTTTAGCCCCTACATGTTGGCCACAGGTGGAGGCATGTGGGACACTATGTCCTTACACTTTATCATTTAAACAACAACGCCACCATAGGTGCACAGGGAGGGCACCATGACCCCCCTATTTTATTATTTAAACCCAAGGTCAAAAGTTCATTGTTTGTGCATGGGGGTGTACAGTGATCATGATAGAGTTGCAAGAAAAAGTATGTGAACCCTTTGGAATGATATGGATTTCTGCACAAATTGGTCATAAAATATGATCTGATCATCATCTAAGTCACAAAAATAGACAATCACAGTCTGCTTAAACTAATAAAACACAAAGAAGGAAATGTTGCCATGTTTTTATTGAACACACCATGTAAACATTCACAGTGCAGGTGGAAAAAGTATGTGAACCCCTAGACTAATGACATCTCCAAGAGCTAATTGGAGTGAGATGTCAGCCAACTGGAGTGAAATCAATGAGATGAGATTGGAGGTGTTGGTTACAGCTGCCCTGCCCTATAAAAAACACACACCAGTTCTGGGTTTGCTTTTTTATTGAACACACGATGTAAACATTCACAGTGCAGGTGGAAAAAGTATGTGAACCCTTGGATTTAGAAACTGGTTGAACCTCCTTTGGCAGCAATAACTTAAACCAAACATTTCCTGTAGTTGCAGATCAGACGTGCACAACGGTCAGGAGTAATTCTTGACCATTCCTCTTTACAGAACTGTTTCAGTTCAGCAATATTCTTGGGATGTCTGGTGTGAATCGCTTTCTTGAGGTCATGCCACAGCATCTCAATCAGGTTGAGGTCAGGACTCTGACTGGGCCACTTCAGAAGGCGTATTTTCTTCTGTTTAAGCCATTCTGTTGTTGATTTACTTCTATGCTTTGGGTCATTGTCCTGTTGCAACACCCATCTTCTGTTGAGCTTCAGCTGGTAGACAGATGGCCTTAAGTTCTCCTGCAAAATGTCTTGATAAACTTGGAAATTCATTTTTCCTTCGATGATAGCAATCCATCCAGGCCCTGAACGCAGCAAAGCAGCCCCAAACCATGATGCCCCCACCGCCATACTTCACAGTTGGGATGAGGTTTTGATGTTGGTGTGCTGTGCCTTTTTTTCGCCACACATAGTGTTGTGTGTTTCTTCCAAACAACTCAACTTTGGTTTCATCTGTACACAGAATATTTTGCCAGTACAGCTTTGGAACATCCAGGTGCTCTTGTGCAAACTGTAAACGTGCAGCAATGTTTTGTTTGGACAGAAGTGGCTTCCTCTGTGGTATCCTCCCATGAAATCCATTCTTGTTTAGTGTTTTACGTATAGTAGATTCGCTAACAGGGATGTTAGCATTTGCCAGTGACTTTTGTAAGTCATTAGCTGACACTTTAGGATTCTTCTTCACCTCATTGAGCAGTCTGCGCTGTGCTCTTGCAGTCATCTTTACAGGACGGCCACTCCTAGGGAGAGTAGCAGCAGTGCTGAACTTTCTCCATTTATAGACAATTTGTCTTACCGTGGACTGATGAACAGCAAGGCTTTTGGAGATACTTTTATAACCCTTTCCAGCTTTATGCAAGTCAACAATTCTTAATCGTAGGTCTTCTGAGAGCTCATCATTCACATCAGGCAATGCTTCTTGTGAAAAGCAAACCCAGAACGGTGTGTGTTTTTTATAGGGCAGGGCAGCTGTAACCAACACCTCAAATCTCATCTCATTGATTGGACTCCAGTTGGCTGACATCTCACTCCAATTAGCTCTTGGAGATGTCATTAGTCTAGGGGTTCACATACTTTTTCCACCTGCACTGTGAATGTTTACATGGTGTGTTCAATAAAAACATGGCAACATTTCATTCTTTGTGTGTTATTAGTTTAAGCAGACTGTGATTGTCTATTGTTGTGACTTAGATGATGATCAGATCACATTTTATGACCAATTTGTGCAGAAATCCATATCATTCCAAAGGGTTCACATATTTTTTCTTGCAATTGTAATTTGAACCAAAACCATTCAATATTTATGAACTGTTTCCAGACGATAGAATGGAATTGAGGTGGTTATTTGAAAAACATTTGAAAATGGAAAGGGATTTTCCCACTGAAGCCTTGAGTACATTTGCCTTCAACAACATTTTTAAGTATATTTGCTCATTGCCTGTGTGTTTTTCCTGGAAGATGCACTCAAGCAGTTTGCTGCAAATGTTGCAAACTATTAGATGTGTTTGTGTTAAAAAAATATTTTTGTGACACCACTGAAGATTTTGGGATGAATTTAGCAACTAGTTCAATTGAAGTTTTTCTCTGTGAAATATGTATAGTTTTGTGAGATGTAAACTTTATACATTTTCTTTGTTTTCAATAAGCAGTTGCTTGTTATATTTTCATTAATAAATTGTTATGCTATATCACTCTATAGCCCAATTGGTGCATTGTAACTAGAGATTCTTCCAGTCCCATCAATGCAAAGCATCAATGATGACTGGTCACTGGCCTTTTTTGATGTATTTTGTAAGCAGGGCCGGACTGGGGATATAAAGCATCCCTAGAAAAAAAATCTCTGCCAGCCCCATAAGTCACTGCGCCATGCATTGTCACATGTAATACGTACGTTACCACCCCAGATGACTGAGTAATATATAAACACATAATATATATATATATATATATATATATATATATATATATATATATATATATATATATATATATAATGTCTTTATATATTACTCAATCATCTGGGGTGGCAAGACATGCATACATATATGTATATGCCTTACACATTATTGGTATAGGGACTGTGAGTGGGTAGAGGAACTGTGATTGGGTGGGGGGGTTGTGAGTGAGTAGGGGTATTGTCAGGTGGGTAGGTGGGCTGTGAGTGGGTAGGGGAGCTGTGAGGGAGACTGACAGGTCTCACTCAGGGAGCTGTGAGGTGGGTAGGGGTTCTGTATGGTGGGTAGGGGGCTGTATGGTAGATACGGGGGACTGTGTGTGAGTAGGGGGACTGTGAGTAGGTAGGGGTTCTGTAAGGTGGGTGGGGGTTTCTGTAGGGGCGGTAGGGGAGGCTGTAAGGTGGGCAGGGGACTGTGAGTGGGTAGGGGGCCTGTGAGGTGGGTAGGAGGTTCTGTAAGGTGGGTAGAGTGTATGGTGGGTAGGAGGCTGTGAGTAGGTAGGGAGTTCTGTATCAGGTGGGTAGGGGCTGGAAGGTGGGTAGGGGGACTGTATGGTGGGTAGGGGGCTGTGAGAGTGGGTAGGGGGTTGTATGAGGTCGGGAGGTGGGGGCTGTAAGGTGGGTGAGTAGACTGTGAAAGGAGGAGTGGGTAAAAGGGGGCTGTGTGTATGTGGGTAGGGAGGTTCTGTATAGTGGGTTAGGGGGCAGTATGGTGGAGTACAGGGGGCCTGTAGGTTGGGGGCAGTATGGTGGGTAGGGGGGCTGTAAGAGTGGGTAGGGAGCTGTAATGTAGGTGAGGACTTTGGGGGCTGTAGAGTGGGTAGGGGGCCGTATAGTGAGGAGGGCTGTAAGGTGGGTAGGGATCTGTAAGGTGGGTAGGGGTTTGTATGTGGTGGGTGGGGGGCTTTATCCCACTGCTTGACAGGGACTGTGGAGGTGGGTAGGGAGGCATTGTATAGTGCTTAGGGATGTAAGTTGAATAGGGGAGCTAGAAGGTGGGTGGGGGTTGCGTTCTGTAAAAATTGGGCAGGGGACTGTATGGTGGTAAGGGACTGTGAGTGGGTATGGGGGCTGCAGCCGAGGTAGGTAGGAGGCTGTATAATTGGGTAGGGGGACTGTAGAGGTGGGTAGTGGTTCTGTAAGGTGGGTAGGGGGGTCTGTATGGTGGATAGGGGGCTGTATGGTGGGAAGGGGGATGTGAAAAGATAAATACCTTTAGTTTTCTGTAATTATTTCCTGGTGCGCCAGTGGGCAGCTTTCCAGCAAGGTCAGCAACATGTGTGGGGCAGGAGCTTGCGTTCTAGAGGTGGAGCTTCCATTCAGGAGGTGGAGCTTCTGTGTGGGGGTGGGGTATGCTGCCACAATTGATTTACACTGTGCAGGGAGACTGACTGGTCTCACTCAGGTTGCTGGCAGACTAATTGTGGCCCCCAGCTCCTCCCTCCTTACTCCCCTCGGACTGACAGGCTGGCACAGTGCGAGGGAAAATATTTAAATGGCATTATCATCCTGATTATTAGGGCTGTCTTCCCGGCCCCAGTTTGCTGCGGCCCACCGGGAAATTTCCCGTTATCCCGATGGGCCAGTCTGGCCCTGCTTATAAGTATAACAAAAAAAAAAAAGAATATGAAAATTCTGAGAATGGACAAAAGCTTAGAGGAACTTAGTAGCCTGCGCTTTGCCCAGGTTGAAAAACATTTTGCTCACTTGTGCCATTAAAGAGAGAACCAGTTCCAAGGCACATCAGACTGATCCCACTGATAAGGGCAGTATAGAACCAAAATGCTGGCACGTTTTCTCTGTACGAGAGATACAGCAACCCCAGGCGATCGTTTTGGCCTTCTTTGAGCCTTGTCAGTGAGATGTAGCCAATACCTCTCTAGGCACAGTGAGCACGGGTCCATGTCTGGATTACCCTTTTAACTGTGCCTAGAAAGGTATCAGCTACACTTTGCTGATAAGACCCAAAGAAGGTCCAATCCGGGGTTGCTGTATCTCCCGTGCAGAGACAACTTGCAGGCATTTCGGTTCTGGACTGCCTTTATGGGGGGAATTAGTCTAATATGCAATACCACAAGTGAGCAAAAACTATTTTGAGACCTGAGCGGGGATTTACAGTAGGGCAAGCTACTGAGTTCCTCTAAGCTTTTGTCTGTTCTCAAGAGTTCTCATATTCTCTGTTTTTGTTGCAGTGAATTGGCTTGGCTCTCCCCAAGTTCAAAAGGGTAATCCAGGCATGGACCCTGTGCTCACTGTGCCTGGAGAGGTATCAGCTACACCTCATTAACAAGGCCCTAAGAAGGTCGGAAATATCATCCGGGATTAATGTATCTCTCGTGCAGAGAGAAAAAGCCGACATTTCAGTTCTATACTGCCCTTACGGGTGGGAATACTCTGATATGCCTTGGAACTGGTTCTCTCTGCAATGGTAAAAGTGAGCACAAATTATTTTGAGACCTGAGCGGGATTTACCGAAGGACCAGCTACTGAGTTACTCTGAGCTTTGGTCCGTTCTCAGAGTTCTCATATTCTCTATATTGAATGTCTATCTAGAGTATTGTAATTATGTGAATCATGTGATTCTTTTTATTTTCCATTTATCCAAAGATAAAATATGTTACACAATAATTTGTTTGCCTTTTACTTGCGTGGCATTCAGTTCCCACATATGGAAGATACTGTATATTGTGAAATATATGAGTACTTAGAATTGTAGTGTTAGAATTTCTTTGTTATTGTGTGCTTTATTGCTCACAAATGTTATTCATTGCACATATTTAAGATACAATATCGGCACCCAGACCACTTAATCTCAATGAAGTGGTCTGGATTCTATTGGACCCTCTGTTTTAACTCTGCTGATGAAAACATTGCAGGAATTGCCATGTTTTCATTGCAATGTTAACCATTCTCTTCTGGCTGTCAAACTGACAGCCACATGAAATAACTCTGCTGAAATAGTGGAGTAAAGGGTGGCATTTTTGCCATGCATGTGCTCTTGTCTCTTCCAATATTGTTGAATGATCTCAGATAAAAAGGTGGAGTGAAATGCTGGATGTAAGGGGGAAAAAATTTAAGTAAAACACTTTTGTTTTACCCTGGGCGAAGGGGCCCGTCACCTAGACAGTAACTAGGTAACTATACTCATTTGTATTCCTAAAGCTAAAGTTATATTAACACTGTTTTTGATTGACAACACTTTAATTAGTACTGTTGATGTATAATTGAATCCTTTAAATGTTGTTAGTCTCAATGAGTATGAGAACCTGGAATTTCACAAGGCAATTAGGTGAACTCAGTGAACCTGGTATGGTGACTAAATACTGTAAATGAAAGGATTACTTTTCTAGGATTTGAACACAGGATTTACAAATATTTCCAAAGCAGCTTAGTTCTGAGTTTCTCAATATTCTAAATCTATTTTCCAATTCTTATCACTGAAATAAATAGACATGTAAAAATGTTCCCATAAACTAAAGTCAATATGTTTTTTTCTCTTTCTGTGTACATTCCACCTGTCATACGACAATACATATTAATGTGACAAGCCGACTTTTTCCAATAGTATAAGGAGGAAGGGAATTTGTACTTTTCAGCAGAAAATTACCACAAAAATACGTAATAGAGTAAATTCTCAAATTTGGTCACTGCACGTTTGACCCTAAAAGTGCACATAACTAGCTTCTTAATATTACAATATTAAAATATTACAACAACATTAAAAAAGCAGAATATTTTTCTAGAACTCTAAAAATATATTTCTGTCATGTACTTCCCTAGGAGAATACCCAATTTCTAACTTTAATTAAACTCAATCCTCTAGCACCAAATCACTATTCATACTCATTTGAATATAAATTGGATTAAACAAACTTTAATTACCCCCTAAGCATCCTACTAACCCTTTAATTGTTTACATAACTTTCATTTCAAACCTAACTTTCATTTCAAACCTTGTTGCCATCTTTCGACTAGATAATCACTGGCTTCCTTTTTAATAATTTTAATCTGATTTTAAGATTAAAAGTCAGTTTTTAATCTCAAAATCAGGGGTATCTATTCTTTCTAACACAATGTACCATTATATAATTTGAATGCCTTTAATCCTTTACTTGTCCTTACTTGTACCTACTACAGTTTGGAAAGTTCCTTGGATATGTGTGGTATATAAAAACCTTAGTAGTAAATCAATAAAGAAACAACAAGATATCACCCTAGATATCAACCTGCTAGACAAGGTATTTGACTATTTAAATGTGAGCTGCATGCAGTGATATAAGTTTGCTATTGAAGTTTTAAAGAAGCATGAGTGTTATTATTTTATAAATTTTATTACTCACCTCTCACATTTTTATTAAAATAAATTAGTAAAAAGAGCAATTTCACTTACATATTATGCCAGCGTTGGACTATCTCAGCTGGGACAGTGTCCTCAGAACTACCTCTAATAAAGTGTTTAATTATCATGGCTTTTGTCCAATACTTTTCACATAGGTGGGTTGGAAACATTAGGAAATGAGCAGCAATTGCTCTACTCATCATTGTAATGCTTCTTATTGCACCCACATGAAGAGCTTAAAATATTCAATGTTTTCAACGAGGAAGCCTCTAATGGCTGTCAATGTGATGTCCCTCTTTTTAGAAACATCAATATTTTACTTTGTCTAAGTAAAGGAGCAGTATCCACAGACCCAAACTGATACATTAATATTGATTTTAGAACTTAGAGTATCCTTTTAAGGCAGACAATTATAAAACAAATGCATCCTCCACTGCCATATTTTCCATGTTTAACCCCTTAAGGACCAAACTTCTGGAATAAAAGGGAATCATGACATGTCACACATGTCATGTGTCCTTAAGGGGTTAAAGTACACTCATGGTAATACTATGGCAGGAAGAATTCTTCTTTATTGTACTGTAAAACTACATGTGTATTCTTATACAAGATTTAAATCGAATAGTATTTTACAAAATACCATAATGGATTAATCATTTTTTTAAAACCCTCATTCTGAATATGCCTGGCTACTGTGTAGTCAGAATGGATTAGAAATGTGACACAACTCATGTTAAGAA